ATAATACATTTTGGGATTCACTGGGTAGCTATGAATTCTTACATAACAACCTACTAATTTCTCATCTCCTTTAGGTTTCCAGAACCGGAAACTAGTATTTTTTAGGTTGCCAGGTCACCAACATTTCACATGCCACTTTGGCAATGTGGTCTCTCCAAGATTCTTTCGCAGTTATATCCAAAATAATTGACCTTACATTTATCGAAATAACTCTGCATCCAGTGATCGGAATTTTACGAAATTTGAGATAATAGATTTTCAGAACCGGCCGAATCCAGACGTTCAATCCTCATCAAAATTGGGTCATTGGTTGACGCGATATACGCGTTCTAAATCCGTTACGGCAAATCGGACTTACAGTATATGGTTGATTTATAACAATTCTTGGCCTTACCTTTGTATTTATTCAATGTATTGCAAATAAAAAAAATATATCACTTAATTTTTCATGTATGATTATCTGACCAGTAATGATACATTTATAAATGCTAATAATTTTGACTTTATTGATTGATAAGAGACCTGCATGTTAATGCAGCTTAATTTAAAAATTCTGGATCAGCTAATTATTAGAAAATAGGATTGTCAGTGACTTTCATGTTTTGCGACGATCGTAGCGATGAACTGCGGAGAAATTTCTTTATAAAAATATTGGATATGGCGGAGGTGTCTCACATACGTTTTGTATTTGATCATATTTTTAAACAGTCTTAAGAATCTTGCTTATAACATCTTAAAAAATCTCAAGGATAAATCAGTTAGAGATATGGAAGTTCTGGAGCTGGGACCATGTTCAGAGTGTAATAACGAGATCCTAATGCTTCCTATCAAGGCGTTCACAGTACTTAGCTGTGGCCATATTTTTCATAGACTTTGCATTGAGAGAAAACTTTTACACACTTCGACTGGTGTGTGTCTATCCCCTGATTGTAGGAAGAATATTGAGATAATTGTTGATGATTCTCCTGAAGTTAAAAATAGGTGAGATTCACAGTCTAGTATGTTATCAGTGGTTGATATAATGGAAAAGCAACTCCAAATCAATACAACTGAAACGATTCTAGAAGAACCTGATCAAGAAATGGACGTGGATACCATTGTTGATGGAGAGGAAGAATTAGCAAATCAGCCCGATGCTAGCAGTAAGAAACAGGTTAACAAAGCTACAGACTCATCTACTAACAAAAAACTAAGAAAATGTTCAACCAGAGGATTCCAATATTTTAAAGAAACTTATCTGAGAGTTATCTTCTGACATTACTCGACTTTCTGAGATTAAGGAAAAGAGAGGACTCCATAGAGAAGCTGTACAAGAAGTTAAGGAAGATCGAACTCTTTTTGACTTATATTTAAAAATCTCCAATGCTGAAGAGCAGAACGAAAAGGCACGCCATGAAGTTATTATTGCATACTACTACTTCGGGGAGGAGTTAGAGAAACGCCTTGCTCACTATAAAAAGACTTGCGAGGATCATGAAGCATCAAAGAAACTCTATGACAAAGTTAAAGATCAGCTTCCAAAAGAGGTTACAAAAGGTGCTGTATAAAAGAAATCAGACAGGGCAAGGAAGATTTATGATCTTTTCTTTCGTATTAGTGATAATAAAATTCAAAGAATGATACTAATCCAACGAATAAAAATGTTTTCAGCGACATCTATTTCAAATTTAAGCGATAGTGATATCAAAAATGTTGCATCTCAGGTTAAGAAGAATACTAGATAAAATTAAGCGAAAGATGCTTCACAAGATTTTTCAGTCATATAATACCTGAATTCTGAGATCAGGATACAATGTCCTCCTCTCAAGGTTTAGCACTTTTTTTATATATAGTATTGTAAAGCGTGATTATCATTATGCATATAATAAAGCATCTATTTTTTATCCACATCTGGACTAGTGTTTTTTTACATATGTGATAGTGCATCCGAAAAATAATTGTGATGTCATATATAGTTAGATTAACTTTAAGAAAAGGGCCTATCATCTCGTGATGTGAGTTCTGACATCGCACAAATCTAATCTTGATTTTGCGCAATTCGATCAACCCTCAAAATCACGGAATGGATATCTGCATAATATGTGACTTTAAAACTGGAATTGAACTGCAATTTGTACACAGTTTGAGCATTTAGCTTTTTTGGTTGACCAGCCAATTTACAATAAAAGTACTTCCATTTTTTATTTTCAAGTAGTATTACAATGCACTTATACATGAAAAATACAAAATTGCTAAATGTTATTCTATTACTAATGTAAAAAAATCTTATTCCTATTGTTGTTCATTTGACCTTTTACCAGCGTAATTAATGGTTACATTGATGATATTAGCATTTTGTGAAAATGAAGGGAGGGTGAGTGTAACTGGCCTAGAGATCGCAGATATTTCAATAGATGATGTTATCAGTTTTGATAGAACAGGTGTATTTATGATAGTTTTAGATAATGATATTTGTGATCTTGATAGTACAGGAGATGATGATGAAAAGGTTGATTCGCTTAACATCCTAACGCTCTCATTATGTACTCGTTCGAATGGAAGATCTAGCAAAATTAAAATATATTGATATTAATAAAGTTCACCAGCGACTAATACTAATTGAGAAGCATCAGATTCCCAAAAGTGTAATTACCAGACTTTAATCAAAATTCGCTAGAGAACTCATCATAGATTTCCTCTCCTATTAAACTCCTTTTTTCTACCCTTTCTATATTTTACGGCTGTCTAATAAATAACAATAATAAGAATATTATCGGTCAAATTCTTCGTAGAGCTAAGCAAGAGGTACTTACTTTATAAGCCTTCTTGAGATTATTGAATTTCTTTTGACATTCCTCACTAGTGTAATAATTTGTATTCTCTTGCTCGTTTAACTTCCTAGCGATATCTTCCCAAAAGAGACGTTTCTTTTTATTTGGAGTGGGTGGAATTCAGAATTTCTTTCTTTTCTTTCGTTTATAAGGAAGCGAACCTGGGAACCGTTCCATCCGTCAGAAGACATCTTACATAGTGAAAAATCAGTGTGAGGGATGGAAATTGTTTTACAAGAAAAAATCGAGTGATGTATTAGAGATATTTGAGATGATTAATCAAATAATAACGGTTGCTTAAGTGCTACACAGAATCTGATTAGCTGATCATCTTATGATTTTGAGAATCATGATTTGAGAAACATCTCAGCACCATAATAGTTCCTAGAGAGTGTCATGGAGCTAGCAGGGAGCCAGAATGGATTCCTGTGATATGATATACGTATTGATCTGGAAAATAATTTTGCTATTATATTATCTTCGAACTAATTTAACCGAATTATGATATATCGGAAAAACTCCAGAGATCTACAAACTGATTTACATGCATGTGAATATGCATATAGATGTAGATCTTATATAAATCCTTGATACACTTATAATCGAATAAAAAATGAATCTGATATTTTATTATAATATACTTATACAAACTACTACAACACTAAATATTTACTAAAAACGCTATATATCACTAAAATTGCTATAAGTCTTATTTATTGTCTGTAATCACATATAATTATCAAATATGCCTGGACAAATGGTTAAGATCATTTTAGATAACATTTATAATAAAGCTGTACCTAAACCTATCAATCTTTATCCTGGATATGATTTGAAGCATGTGAAGCATGTTCATAACGTTCAGACTTATAATGATACCTGTAGGCTTGAAAAAGTGGTTGAAATAGAAAAACGACATGATTATTTATCTATTATTAGACCTCATGAAATGCCACAGTAATGGGCTTTTCGCATAAGAGGTACTCTGCAAGAGTTACTTTCTAAGCGAGAATATAGTTTATACCATGTGTACTGTCTTTTCACCTCATTTGGACAAGGAAAAAATAAGACGTTCTATGACTATGGTATTGATGAATTAAGAGATATTTCACATGAGTATCATAGACCTAGTGTTCATAAAAGTCAAATGGCTATCTGCTTTAAATGCTGGAAATTGATAAAAATTATCAAAGTAGAGCCAAGAAAGGTATATTATGATGAATGGCGTAGATAGAGCTATGAAGTAAAGTCTGAAGACTTGATGAAAAATTATTAGGACCAGGAATGTAGAGTTAAGCCATTTGGTATTTCACCTGCCAAGCAAGAAATATTTTCACCAGCTTCTTATCGATCCTCGAACTACAAAACCAATACAAGCAAAATATTTATTTCATCTATATACGTAAAACAAAATAACTTAAACCATCTTAATCAGCCAAAAGGTATCACGTTAAGATTGAAAGATGAGACAAAAGTCACAATTGTTTAACCAGTTTAACTGACCGATTCCGAAAAATATTTTAATATAGACCATTACTTTCTTGATATATATCTTTATTCACATATATTTTTTCTTGGCAAATTTCAGCGAACATTGTTCGCCTAAAATCACGTGAATTTTTTCTTAATGAAAGTTTCTGAATATTATTTTAGCCTGCGTCTTATGCTAATGCATGTAGGCATGTGCGACAGCTGTTAAGGTGCTAAAGCATAAATAAACATGTTTATGATCCTCATTAAAATAAATATGATGTAATAGTAATATACTGCCAATCATTTGTATGACTATCTGCTTGTGTGACAAAATAATTTCATATATAAATCGATCCCTCCTTCAGTTATAGACCTGCAGGAGATAATATATTCTAATCCAGACAGATAAAAAAAATCTATATATATGCATTACCCCTAATGCCTTTCTAAAGTTAAGATTTTCAATGCACACCATATATACCTTATTCTCGAACACAACATTTTTGGCATAAAAGTCATTTATATATCCTTCTGCTTCGACCTAACATGAGCTCAGACCTAGAGAGATGTGAATGAGAAAATTACAAATATTATAAAGGGCAGTATAGTGAAATTATTACGCCTTTACATTATTTTT